TCTGCTGCCTGTTATTTTATGCCATGTGTTAAGGTTCAAAATATTGGGGATGGAGACAAGAGAAAAAACCACAATAACAACACTGGTCCGGCCGGGTTGAGTCAAACGATGATTTAATGATCACACACGTGGGAGATGAACACTGATGCAGACAGCCTCAAAATCTCAAAATGGTGGAGCATTGCTCAAACTTTTATAACCTCTGGTGCCTCCACCTTATCATAAAAGCCTAAACATTCACATGCTCTCTCTCACACAGCGCCTAAGCTACGACCTTGGCTCCCTGTTTATCTGCTCCTGCTGAAATGGGGCAGAAAACTCCAGCACACTCTGTTCTCTTCTACTCAGACAAATTAGACAATAACCTTCTGCGAACAGTATTTCTTATAACTCAGCAATATAATGCATCATAAAACAATATCATTCATTCACAACAAGTCAGCAATTTAATGTAATGCAAATCAGTTTAACTAATGCAATAGTTATCAGCTTCTTCTAATTCAGGAGAATAATGCAAACTAAAACTATATAATAATTCACAATCTTTAATTAGGGGTATAACATGTGTAAAATTATGATATTATTTTATGCCATGTTATACCCCTAATTAAAGATTGTGAATTATTATGTAGTTCTAGTTTGCATTATTCTCCTGAATTAGAAGAAGCTGATAACTATTGCATTAGTTAAACTGATTTGCATTACATTAAATTGCTGACTTGTTGTGAATGAATGATATTGTTTTATGATGCATTATATTGCTGAGTTATAAGAAATACTGTTCGCAGAAGGTTATTGTCTAATTTGTCTGAGTAGAAGAGAACAGAGTGTGCTGGAGTTTTCTGCCCCATTTCAGCAGGAGCAGATAAACAGGGAGCCAAGGTCGTAGCTTAGGCGCTGTGTGAGAGAGAGCATGTGAATGTTTAGGCTTTTTATGATAAGGTGGAGGCACCAGAGGTTATAAAAGTTTGAGCAATGCTCCACCATTTTGAGATTTTGAGGCTGTCTGCATCAGTGTTCATCTCCCACGTGTGTGATCATTAAATCATCGTTTGACTCAACCCGGCCGGACCAGTGTTGTTATTGTGGTTTTTTCTCTTGTCTCCATCCCCAATATTTTGAACCTTAACACTACCTCATTTCTGTCACCCACAAGCCTGCATCTTGAGTGCTGCAGTGCTTTCTAAAGTGTCGTTGGTTGTAAAATTTGGAGTAGAGGTCTTTCTCTCCACAAAGGTTTGCTTTGTTGACCATTTCTGTGTATTTTTCTCTCCTTTTTTCATCTTTTTGATCACTGCCTCGTATTAAAAGTGTATTTCCTCATGTATTGCAACCAAAGAATCTTTTCTCATATTAATGATGAGGGGGGAAACCAGGCACGTGCAGAGGGGGGGGCTAGAGGGACTTGAGCACCCGCCCCTTTCCTGATGGGTTCCCAAAGTGCCCTTTTGTTGAGGCAACTTTTTTTTTTTTTTAATTATTATTATTATTTTTTTAATGTGTGTGTGCGGAGTCCTGTCTGTGCCCCTCAACAATAATATTTAACTATTAATCACAGTTTTGCTAAATAAAAGGATCTGCTTGCATCAGTCACATGATCACATTTAACCAATGATCGCCCTTGACGGCAGAACGCGCTGGTTACGAGCCTGGAACGAGCTCACAAAGAGCACGCGCATTTTTTGCGGTCCGGAGCTGTAGGAGAAACACAAGTTAACTCAGAGACACAGACTGATGCGACAAAACCAGTAAGTAGGTGTACAGCGTACACTGTAGTGTATAGCACCCAGGAGTATTAGCTTATTACGTACACGTTGGTAAGCTGTCTTGTTGCAACTGACGAACTGAAACAAACGAGCGTGCTGTGTGTGCAACAGCGCGACAAACATTACCTGTCCTTTTATTAACTGCACAAGTAGTGCTGGTCACAGCTGCTGGCTATCTGTGTAAGGCTGTCATAGGTCTGTAGCTCTGTCACCGTTTTAGGGAACATATTTAGTTTTAAAGTAAGTTACAGAGCTTTTCCTGCCTTTCTGGGGGGATTATATTTCACTAAAAAACGATCTAATATGCATGTCCACATAATTATGCATTATTATAATATTCTAAAAAACACACGCTGTATTTTAAAGAACATACATTAAGAAGCAGATTATATTAGATTTATATTTTAAATAAGACAAAAGTTGGATTTTACAGCAGTAAAATGATTGTATCTCTACAGTTTAAACATGTAATAAGCTTTGCCCCTGCACAGAGTGGATAGTGAAACAAATGGAATCATCATAATGACATTATTTCATATTTATTACTTCCCCCTCCTCATTGCTTTATTATTGTAGCTCTAGTAATAAATAATAATGTAAGGATTCTGGATCAGCACCGTGATACCCATAGTATATACAGTATTCTGAAGAAGGTCTAAAATGTCTCTGTGTGTGCGTGCATGTGTGTGTTTTATTTAGATGGATTTTTAAAAAAAAATATTACTCATGATATAACATTGTGCAGACATGGCTGGTAAGCACATGAGGAGGAAACAGTAGGAGCTGTGTGAGGCTACTAAAGGCAGTGCTATAACATTTTTCTGTCATTTTATTATAGATTAAGTGCAAGAGTTGTTAGGTGTGGATAATTAGATTATAGTTTATTGCAATAGCAAGTTGTGCCTTGTTCTCAGATAGACAGCAAGTGGAGAGTGATATATGAAATGATGGGATGGAAGGAAGAAGAGAAGCAAAGAGTGATTCACAGGCAGAGCCTAAATTATTTCTCACAGTTTTTTGTTGCCTTATGGTTCCAAGCGCTGTCACCAATCTTTGCATTTAGTTATTATCTCATGACACTTGTTTAATCAGCTACCATCTCTCCTATGGACTTTTTAATGTCTACAGTCTCAGATCAACACAGCCCCGCCCTCCAGCACTATCAGCAGCAGGAGCAGCAGCAACCCCTCAACAGCAACATTGTACCCATCAGGTAAAACACCGGCTACGTTTGCTTTGCCTTGTTGCCCATATTAGATTCTTGATGAATGTGTGTTGTTGTTATTCAGCCTGGCTCAATGTGCCCCTTTTTAACTTTAAGCACCTGCCCCTTTAAACCTCTCTGCACGGCCCTGGGGGAAACCACAAACTAACACCCTGTAACAGAGGAAGGAGGAGGAGGTTCGTGTGTTATGTGAGTGAACTTATGCAAGAAGAATTAATTCAGCATCAACAAAAGACAGAATGGAGAAATCATTTCTTCTGCTTTGTAAGTATACTGTAATGGGTTTCATCTTTGAAAAGGCCTAAAGATGCCACTTCTTTTGTTTCTCCACATAAATATCGAGTTTGTGTAGAAGACAACAAAGAGAGAATCACTTCCTGCTTTTTCTGCTTATTCTGCACGAGTCTGTAGCTCGATCAAGCTGTGTAAAACCTCTAAACCAACCTCTGTTTCATTTCTCTTTAGTTCTGATCTCACTGCTGAGCTACACCACAAACCAAGGTCGGTAACCTTCTCTTGTCCTATTTTAAACCTGAAATAAACGACACATTTTAAAGATTAAAATTTATTGACTCTCGTGAATATGAATGAATATTTTCAACCCAAAAGTTCTGTTAAAGTTTGATCACGATGAAGGTGCTGTTGTTTGACATAGTTAATGATGATCACCAGGAATGTTATTTCAGCCCTAAGTGTTTATGAAAAATATAATCAAATCAAATCACTTTTATTGTCACATCACATGTGCAGGCACGCTGGCACAGCACATACGAGTGAAATTCTTGTGTGCGAGCCCCACAAGCAACAGAGATGTGCAAACACAACAACACAAACGAGCAAAATACAAGAATGGCCAACCTGAAACTAATAAATATATGTACAATATATAATAGTGTATGCATTTCTGGATGTGTATACTAAATGTTTTTCTACGTGTGTGTGTGTGTGTGTGTGTGTGTGTGTGTGTGTGTGTGTATACACATTTTTACAAATTAAATAGTAAAAAAATAAATAAATAAATAAAAAATAAAATAAAATATATAAAAATATATAAAAATATACAGAGTTGAATATGTGCAAAACAGTGGCGTTACTATACAGTGTGGAGTGCATAATGTTGAAGTTCCAGTAGTGAAGCTGAGGTGTCTATGACGTGTTCAGCAGTCTGATGGCCTGATGGAAGAAGCTGTCTCTCAGTCTGCTGGTACGGGACCGGATGCTGCAGAACCTCCTTCCTGAGGGAAGTAGTCTGAACAGTTTATGGCTGGGGTGACTGGAGTCCTTGATGATCCTCCCCGCTTTCCTCAGGCAGCGCTTCCTGTAGATGTCTTGGAGGGAGGGAAGCTCACCTCCAATTATCCGTTCAGAGCACCGCACTACACGCTGGAGAGCTTTGCAGTTGTAGGCGGTGCTGTTGCCATACCAGGTGGTGATGCATCCAGTGAGGATGCTCTCAATGGCACAGTGATAGAAGGTCCTGAGGATGCGGGGGCTCATGCCGAATCTTTTCAGTCTCCTGAGAAAGAAGAGGCGCTGCTGCGCCTTCTTCACTGTTTTGTTTGTGTGTACTGACCACGTAAGATCCTCAGCCAGATGTACACCACTTGGCGTCTGTCAGACAGGAAGCTAAGGATCCAGCTGCAGAGGGAGCTGCTCAGTCCTAGATCCTGCAGTTTCCTGTCCAGCTTCGAGGGAACGATGGTATTGAATGCTGAGCTGTAATCTACAAACAGCATCCTCACATACGTGTCTCTCTTCTCCAGGTGTGACAGGGCAGTATGTAGTGTCAGGGCTATGGCATCATCAGTGGACCTGTTGTGGCGGTATGCAAACTGTAGAGGGTCCAGTGAGTCGGGTAGTGCAGAGCAGATGAAGTCCCTGACCAGCTTCTCGAAGCATTTGCTCACGATGGGGGTCAGGGCTACAGGTCGCCCTATAATATAAATATAAATATACTAATATCGATTTTCATCACAGCTCTTCTGACTGTGAGTCCCAGCAGCTCTCAGATGTTTGGGGGAGACTTTGTGTCTCTGAGCTGTGAGGAGGACGACAGCTCTGCTGGATGGACTCTGAGGAGAAACACAAGCAGAGAAATCAGAGCTGAGTGTGAGGAGTGGGGAGCAGCAGCTGATTCTTCCTGTAACATTAGCAGTGTCCTCCCGTGGGACAGTGGAGTTTACTGGTGTGAGTCCAGAGAGGGTCCCATCAGTAACATGGTTAACCTGACAGTCACTGGTAAGCTGAGTGTGTGGAGTTAGTGTTGATGAAGCTGTGTGTAAATGGATGAAATGCTGTAGTTTGTCTCTGTGTTGAGGTGGATCAGTGATCCTGCAGAGTCCTGTCCTCCCTGTGATGGAGGGAGATGACGTCACTCTGCTCTGCGAAGAAAAGAATTCCTTCAGCCTCCCGGCTGCTTTCTTTAAAGATGGCTCCCTTATCGGCAACGAGATGACAGGTCACATGACCATCCAGCATGTTTCCAGGTCTGATGAAGGCCTCTACAAGTGTGACATCAGCGGTCATGGAGAGTCTCCATCCAGCTGGATCACTGTCACAGGTGAGGAGCTTCACTCACATTTTACCATTTCACCTACAAATTCACCTGAACAGGTGGGATTCTCTCTGCAGATAGGCCTGCAAACACAATCCTACACCCATCCTCAGCACCACCTCCTGACCCCACCTCCCTCAACCTTGTGTTCCGCGTTGTCTCTCACCTGGTGGTAATTTGTCCATACTTCATCTCCACTCTGCTCATGGTGTCTTTATATCGACACAGAGCCAAAGGTAACACTCCGAGTCTCCTCTGATTTTTTTCATCAGTTCCTTTTGTTTCTATTAGAAATGTCTCATCTTACCTCCTCTCTATGCTAGCATCCCTGCCGACCCAAGCTGAGCAGAGACAGACTGAGGACTTTGATAACATCGTGGAGGTGACCACTGAGCATCACTTCTGAGTTGCACAGTAAGAGTTCCTGTTCATTCAGTCAGAAGGTGGATGTCACATCACCGTGGTTAACCAATGAAAGAAATCTGCAATACACTGTTTACTAATGCAAACATTTTGTTTGTTTTATCAGCGCTGCCAAGTGATTTAAAAGCAGTATGCACTATGTTTCCTACTCTTCAGTCAAATGTCTTATGCTAAGTTCAGAAGAAGTTCTTCACTGGTGCAGATGTTGCATTTTGCTTCCCACACATTTCCTTGCTTTGCTGTCAATAAAAAAAACAGCAACAGATATTTGCTCAATAAAATAACAGTATTTATTTGTTTTTGTTTTGTTTTTTAAGGGTTTCACTTCACAAATAGTGTAGCTCTGTCTGGAGCCACACTTTCAGCTCATGAATGGACTCCAGTAAAGTGCAGAGCCAAAGCCCCTTTATCTGATGACACAAAGAAACTTGTTGTCAGCATCTACAGTGATTTTTTACCACTAGCAGAGAAATTGATTAAGATTATGACTGTTGTCGGTCATTGAAAAATGCACCTGTTTTTTTTAAGTATATACAGTTTATACAGTTTTGTTCCTGTATTTGGCTTTTTTAATGACAGTGGGTGTTCTTTTTATGCTTTACTGTTTTTTTTTTCAGCCTGACAGTAAAAGAAACTAACAGGTCTGTAGCCCAGTTTCCTGTTTTCTGGTAAAAAGGCTTTAACCACCACGGCTGATGTCTCACTGCAGGACATTTAAGACGCACATGCATGCACACAAGTGCACACACCACACACGTTGCTTATATGAGTGCACATTTGAACATTCTACAAACTGAAATCCATATTTCCTATTTGCAGCTTTTGACAAGCCACATAGTGGAGACAGCAAACATGTCAAAAAAGGTTCTCTGGTCAGATTTAATGTCTTGACCTTGCAAAATGCTGCCTACAAATTATTGACTCAGGTGGTCTGAATACAAATGCAGAAACATTTTTCAGATTCTTATATGTAAAAAAACAACAACTGAACTCTATGTACTATTTTTTCTTCCACTGCAGAATTATGGGCCAATTGTCAAAGGAGCTTGGAAAGAAAAACGTCTGGACTTCTTCTACGATGACCTGGATGACTGAGAACCTTCACACACCCCCCCCCACCCCACCCCACCCCTCTGACACTTACTAATTCTCATCCTCCCTCTTGATCATAGAGGCTCAGGGTGTTGGACTATGTGAGGAGATTATGCCATGGTCAGGGTCGGAATCCTCATCAATGCGTCCAGTAAGAGTCCCAGACTAGACCCTCCTTTCCCACATTTACCTAAGACTGATATACAAAACACAATATACAAACTAACTGAGAAAAGACAATCATGTACAGGGTTGTTTGTACACATGATATTAATCAACAATGTATTTCATTCTAACTGCTTTTTTATTTCTAATTGTGGTTGCTTTACTGAACAAATTCTCCTTAAAAATGTTCAACATTAAAGACTTTATAAATCTTGTTTAATAAATGTGATATTTTTCCACACTGGTCGATGTCCTTATTCTAAAAACTTATTACAATATTTTAATAAGATTTGTTAAAGTTGCCTCTTGGTTTATACTTAAAGGCAATAGCCAAAACACATCAAGGGTAAAATTCAAACAGGTCCACTTAGAAGAAATTTCTTGAAGCACAAGTCAAGAAAAAAAATAAAATGAGGAGAAGCTCCCATTTCCCCCTTTTCTGTTTCACATCTTGACTGAACAATTTTACAGATAATACATCTCAACCCATCTTGACTATTTGTTTTAGAGTTTTACAGGCTCACTTTCTTCCCCTCTTTTATTCAACTCCCCCTATTTTTTTATTCCTTTAAACACCAGCTTGATGTGCTTGCATGGAGTCAGGACCATTCTCATACACATGTGAAGGTGGTTATTGTTGAGCTTGAAACAATATTTAATCTTTAGTATTTCCATTACTGAGAAAACTGTTTCACTGTTGCGTGTGGAGGTCAGACCTGGGAAACCGTGTCGGGTATTAAAATTGCTTTGAAATAGTTGTATCTGCTTGGACACCAGTTGCATCTGCGGTGTCATCATTTACCCATGAAATCCTCTATTTTTGCTTTTCGCTTTCCTTTTTGCAGAATACCCTTTCTTCATTATTTTTCACCTCTGTCTTTTCTCAGCTTTCTCTGATGCAGTTGTTTCTATCTTTGCATGTGTACTGCAACTTGCCTCCAACTCTCATCTGTCTGCACTCTGGAGTTGCAGTGTTTACTAGGGATCCTCTGGTCAATCCAAATCTTGATATCATGCTGGTATGAATGCTGCCCCTGTAATTCAGATGCACTACTGTAAAATTCTCTTCTGTGACATTACTAGCTTATTTGAAGACATAAAAGTCGATGAAAAAAAACTGCTGTCCCAAAACAAGCAGCAAAAGAAACAAAGAGAGGAGGAAAGAAATCCCGAGACAAACCCAGATCCTGAGCACAGTGGTCACTGTCACAATCCTTTTCAGAGAAGGACAGAATAATCAGGTAGTGCACGTGGTCACTGGTGAAAGTAATGTTTCAGTCATGTTGGATTTTCAGCATCATGTTAATATATTACTGATATGACTACCATCAGTTTAGACATTCAAATAATTCATTCAACCCACTGAAACATGTTTAATTATTTTATTTGAAAATCAACAACAACAACAAAAGCGTCAGACCTTCACTGCCCAGTCTATTTTATTTAATAACATTACCGTAGTTATTGCTTTGTTGACCCCTACATAAGCTGCAGGTAAAGGTTCAAACTATATGTGTCACTATTGTTACTGGAAATAATGGCCCTGTTTTTATTTAGTATTGGATCAGTGCCAGAAAAATGACAGTAGCGCTAGGTATCACGTGGGATAGCTTAACTCCTGAACTCACATCCAGCTGGCATCTGCAATTAAACAGCTACCGTAGCTTGTTTAAATGAAAGAAACGCAATGTTTAAATCATACTACTTTTTGTTTTATTGTTTGTTTGTTTTTGTAGCTGGGTTCTTATGGGACAGCTTCCGGGTCTAGGTTCGGACCGCCTGCCAAGCTGTGTGTGATTTTCCGAACAATTTATCAACTTTTTTGCGTGGGATCGGTCGTATGCAGTGTGAATTGCCTCCCGCTAAAGTGGTGCCATTTTTTCTTAAGTTTTTGATTTTATTTAGTTTTGTAAATTGATAAATGCCATTTTAAATGTGGACTGTAGTTTATTGTCTTTTTGGGGTCCTTCCAACCCCACAGCCACGCCTACGTTGTCGCCGTCATCGAGCTCCGCTTCCGCCTCTTTGCTATGAGGATTGTTGTTGCTAACATTGCACTCTTTTTATTTTATTTTGTGCCCTTTGCGGCTCCTCTGGATCAAGGTGAGTTACAGCAGGGGATGGGTTGTTTTAAAGGATCCTCACAGGTCTCATATTGCACGTATCTAACTTTCTCTCTACGCCATAACGGTGCCTTTAAACCCAGCCGATATCTCAGCCCTGTCTACATTTAACATATATGACTGCAGGGTTTCTCCGACAGTGTTGGGCAAACTCCAGATAAAATCACAAGTCGGATTTATCATCTTTAATGAACTCTCAAACTTGGAAAGTCGAAGGAGCCCCACCAAGCCCGCGTTAGCAACAGTTTATTGTAGTGATGGGCAGATGAAGCCCATGAAGCACTGAAGCTTTTCATCCAATTGGTTCACCCAACGCGAAGCTTCATGAAGCTTCATTTGCTCTAGCAGGACACCTACTGGACGTAAAAATATTAGTTGGCATGAATTTGAAGAGTGTGGCATTTTGCACACAGCCTGTAAATGTCAACAACAAAAGGAGTGTGTAAAACATGTATATTGTAGTGATGGCAGTATACTGTGTATATTTATACTGGCAGTATGGGAAATGATTATTTGGAAATGCTTGAAATGGAAACGATCATTTACTGTGAGGTGAGGTGTGGTTGGGGTGTGGACAGTGGTTGTGCTTTTGTAACGTTGAGGTATGGACAGCTACACACTGAGGCTTTGAGCCTCAGTCCTGCCTGTTCACATTTTATTCTGTAAAAACTAAATTTTCACTGCTTTTACGACCTTTTTAGTGGGGAGAACATAGCTGGGATTTAATGATTTAACAAATCTTTTGAATCCTTTGTCCTCCACAATGCTAAATGGCTGGGAGTCCTCAATCACCATGCTGACCAGGTCTTCATCTATTTGAGATTGTTCTCCTGAGGAAAGACAATAAAGACAAAGCACAAATATAAATATCACACACGTAACTTATTACAGTTGTATAATATTGTTATATCATTTAGTAACATTACTGCATCCTATATTATCATTGCATTTGATGGCTCACCTGGTCTTGCTCCACATTCGGTGTTCCCCTTATTCTCATGCAAAGCTCTGTAGTGACTAAGCATGGATGAGGTGTTGCTGTTATATCCCAGCTCCCTGGCACATAGCAAACACTTCACCTTGTACAAAAGTCAAGACAGCTCAACATAAATTGTATTGCACCATCAGTATCATGACAATACATCTTCTGTAGAAATTCACATACCTTGTTGGGAGGAATAAAATCAAAATGTTCCCACACAGGGGAGGACATCCTCCTCTTCTTAGCTGGCTCCATTCTCTCCTGACTTTCTCTCCTCACTCTCATAAACCTCCAAACGGTCTCCAAACTCTCTCTAACCGCAACTCTCCATCAAACACCCACATTTTTGAATGAAGTCTGAGGGGTTTATATCGCTGTCATATCTCGCGGCAAAGTTCGAACCACTTCATGAACCAGTCACGTGGTACAGCCGGGCAGCGAGGCTTCGGACGTCATCATTTTCAGCTCCTCCCATAAATGAAGCAAGCCTCGATACGCGCTTCGCGGAAACGCCCCCTCCATTACTCGACACACGCTCCGAAGCCTCGATACAGAACGTCCCATCACTAGTTTATTGCTTACATTTTAAAACAGACTGCTCAGCTGATGTAACCGTGTGTTCCTGCACTGTGCCTGACAATGAAAGGCAAAAAGAAAGACTTGCCCGCTCCAGCTCCTATACCCAATACAAACACTTGGGATGAGAGTTAGCTCAACCCACTACACCTTCAAAGCTACCAGGAATTATCTGCTCATGCTAGCATTAACACACACACGATCAGAAACATCAGAGTGGATAAAGATATAATTAATCTCGGAAAAGAAATGACATAGACCTCTCCTACAGGGGAATTATAGAAAAGGGGAGAGGCCATAGGGGTACCCCAAATTTATAGGAATGCACCAAAGATGAAGAAAGGGATGAAGAGGGGCTCTAACTAATAATGAAGATAACTACAGGCTTGCAGGTCCTAAAAGTCAGCTATACCAGGAACAGTTTGGGGTTTACAATACATTTTGTGTAATAACAATATGTGATTTATGACCCTGGCTACAAAAATATAAGAAACAGATTATACATCTTTTACTGTAAAAATCCGAGTAATCAAAGTTTATCATCACGTCCACTTCTGCTTCTGATCACCAAGCCTGCAGCCTCTCATCCAGTGTCCGCACTGCCCAGCTCTGCTCCTCAGGCCTGAAGACTGTCGGATTTCACTCTGGACTCAGTTCAGTTTAGCTACAGCTCCCCTGCTGCTCAGAACAGCCAGCAGTCTTGTTATACATAAAATATAGAAATTACCTGATTTGCAAGAGCCTTTATGACTCAGAGAGTAGATACAGTCTTATATGACATGTCAAATATCTTGATAGAAATGTTTTTGTTGCAGTTTCTGCTGCCCTCTCAAACACATCTCTCTTGAAATGCATATGTAATCACAGGGAGACTTTTTACCTGGATGGATAAATAAAGGATACACAAAAGTTCGTTGAAGGTCATTTTAATAAGAAGGAGCCGGAAAATAAATAATAATAATTACAATACTAGTTTTACTTGTATGGTTATTTTTTTTCATCTGTATTCTCCGTTTGTTACTCATAGTAAACAGTGAATTTTGTGTTTATGTCACTCAGAGGTAACTGCGAGTCCTGGAGAAGATGCCATTCTTCAGTGTCAGGGTCCCAGAGTTGTGGAGATCACCCTGTTGGAGTGGAGCAAACCTGAGCTTAAGTCCGATGTCTATGTATTCTTCTACAGAAACCAGCGCCTATATGAAAACTACCAGCACTCGTTCTATAAAGGCCGAGTGAAGCTGAGAGATCCATCAATGAAAGATGGAGACTGTTCAGTGATTCTAAGGAATGTCAGCATCAGGGATGCAGGAACATATGAGTGTCGCATTACAACCAGAAGAAATAAGGGCGTCCAAAGTGAGTTCAAGCACTCCATCAAGCTCACAGTCAAATCCTCAGGTGAGTTTGTGGAAGTGTTACAGTTTCTTCCATAGGAAGTTTTACATTTTGCAGATGTGATGTGATTGTTGTGGTTGGTGCTATTAAGTTATTTCCCACTTCCATTGTTTGTTTTTGCATGATGGGGATCTAAAGTTTCAACAGATTTTTTTTGTTTTTTTATCTGTACACCTCCTCCTTGAATCGCTACCTTATCGTGGTGGAGGGGTTTGTGTGTCCCAGGGATCCCAGGGGCTATGTTGTCTGGGGGCTTTTGCCCCCTGGTAGGGTCTCCCATGGCAAACTGGTCCTGGGTGAGGGACCAGACAAAGAGCGATTCAGAAGACCCCCATGAAAAGAATATCGAGGGAACAGTTTACCCTGCCCGGGATAGGGTTACCGGGGCCCCGCCCTGGAGCCAGGCCCGGGGAGGGTGCCCGAGGGCGAGCGTCTGGTGGCCGGGCCTTAGTCCATGGGACCCGGCCGGGCACAGCCCGAAGAGGAGACATGGGCCCATCCTCCCGCAGGCCCACCACCCGCAGGAGGCGCCATAGGGGTCGGGTGCATTGTGAGCCGGGTGGCGGCCAGGAGCGGAGGCCCTGGCGGACCGACCCCCGGCTGCCAAGACTGGCAATAGGGACATGGAATGTCACCTCTCTGGTGGGGAAGGAGCCTGAGTTGGTGCGTGAGGTTGAGAGGTACCGGCTAGATATAGTTGGGCTCACCTCTACGCATTGTCTGGGCTCTGGAACCAGTCTCCTGGAGAGGGGCTGGACTCTGTCTCAGTCTGGAGTTGCCCCTGGTGAGAGGCGGCGGGCTGGGGTGGGTATTCTTATATCCCCTCGGCTTGCTGCCGGTACGTTGGGGTTTTTCCCGGTGGACGAGAGGGTTTGTTCCCTGCGCCTTAGGGTCGGGGAACGGGTCCTGACTGTCATCTGCGCTTATGCGCCGAGTGGCAGTTCGGAGTACCCAGCCTTCTTAGAGTCCCTGGGGGGGGTGCTGGAAGGTGTTCCACCTGGAGACTCTGTTGTCCTGCTGGGAGACTTCAATGCTCACGTGGGTAACGACAGCGAGACCTGGAGGGGCGTGATTGGGAGGAACGGCCTCCCTGATCTGAACCCGAGCGGTGCTTTGTTATTGGACTTCTGTGCTAGTTCAGTTTGGCCATAACGAACACCCTGTTCGAACATAAGAGTGTCCATAAGTGCACGTGGCACCAGGATGCTCTAGGCCGTAGGTCGATGATCGATTTTGTAATCGTATCACCAGACCTGCGACCATATGTTCTGGACACTCGGGTAAAGAGAGGGGCTGAGCTGTCAACTGATCACCACCTGGTGGTGAGTTGGATCAGGTGGCGGGGGAGGACGCTGGACAGACCTGGTGCACCTAAACGCGTAGTGAGGGTGTGCTGGGAATGTCTAGCAGAGGCCCCAGTCCGCGAGATCTTCAACGCACACCTCCGGCAGAGCTTCAACAGCATTCCGAGGGAGACTGGGGACATTGAGTCCGAATGGACCATGTTCAGCGTCTCCATTGCCGAAGCTGCTGCATTGAGCTGCGGCCGCAAGGTGGTTGGTGCCTGCCGTGGTGGTAATCCCCGAACCAAATGGTGGACACCAGAGGTGAAGGGAGCCACCAGGCTGAAGAAGGAGGCCTATCGGGCTTGGTTAGCCTGTGGGACTCCGGAGGCAGCCGACAGGTATCGACAGGCCAAGCGGAATGCGGCTCGGGCAGTGGCTGAAGCAAAAACTCGGGTGTGGGAGGAGTTCGGAGAGGCCATGGAAAAAGACTTTCGGACTGCCTCGAAGAGATTCTGGCAAACCGTCAGGCGTCTCAGGAGGGGAAAGCGGTGCTCTACCTGCACTGTGTATAGTGCTGGCGGAGCGCTGTTGACGTCGACTGAGAAAATTGTCGGGCGGTGGAAGGAATACTTCGAGGACCTCCTTAATCCCACTGACACGTCTTCCGGGGAGGAAGCAGAGTCTGGGGATGAGGGGTGTGACCCACCGATTTCCGGGGGCGAGGTCACTGAGGCAGTTAAACAACTCCTTGGTGGCAGAGCCCCTGGTGTCGATGAGGTCCGCCCCGAGTTCCTGAAGGCTCTGGACGTTGTAGGGCTGTCTTGGTTGACACGTCTCTGCAATGTTGCGTGGAGATCAGGGGCAGTACCTGTGGACTGGCAGACCGGGGTGGTGGTCCCCATCTTCAAGAAGGGGGACCGGAGGGTGTGTTCCAACTACAGGGGGATCACACTCCTCAGCCTCCCCGGGAAAGTCTATGCCAGGGTGCTGGAGAGGAGGGTTCGTCCGCTAGTCGAACCTCGGATACAGGAGGAACAATGCGGTTTTCGTCCTGGTCGCGGAACACTGGACCAGCTCTTTGTCCTCTCGAGGATACTTGAGGGTGCATGGGAGTTTGCCCAACCAGTCTACATGTGTTTTGTGGACCTGGAGAAGGCATTCGACCGTGTCCCTCGGGGCGTCCTGTGGGAGGTGTTGCGCGAGTATGGGGTGTCTGGCCCATTGCTACGGGCCATTCAATCCCTATACAACCGTTGCAAGAGCTTGGTTCGCATTGCCGGCAATAAGTCGGACTCGTTCCCGGTGGGTGATGGGCTCCGCCAAGGCTGCCCTTTGTCTCCGGTTCTGTTCATAATTTTTATGGACAGGATTTCTAGGCGCAGCCAAGTGGCGGAGGGCTTTCGCTTTGGTGGCCTCAGAATCTCATCTCTGATTTTTGCGGATGATGTGGTTCTGTTGGCTTCATCGGGTGAGGGCCTCCAGCTCGCACTGGAGCGGTTCGCAGCCGAGTGTAACGCAGCGGGAATGAGGATCAGCACCTCCAAATCTGAGGCCATGGTTCTCAGCCGGAAAAGGGTGGAGTGCCCACTCCGGGTCGGGGATGAGTTCCTGCCCCAAGTGGAGGAGTTCAAGTATCTCGGGGTCTTGTTCGCGAGTGATGGGAGAAGGGAGCTGGAGATCGACAGACGGATTGGGGCTGCGGCTGCAGTAATGCGGACGCTGCACCGGTCAGTCGTGGTGAAGAGGGAGCTGAGTGTAAAAGCGAAGCTCTCAATTTACCGGTCGATCTACGTCCCTACCCTCACCTATGGCCACGAGCTGTGGGTAGTGACCGAAAGAACGAGATCGCGGATACAAGCGGCGGAAATGAGCTTCCTCCGAAGGGTGGCTGGCCTCTCCCTTAGAGATAGGGTGAGAAGTTCGGCCATCCGGGAGGGGCTCAGAGTAGAGCAGCTGCTGCTCCACATCGAAAGGAGCCAGCTGAGGTGGTTCGGGCATCTGGCAAGGATGCCCCCTGGGCGCCTCCTGGGCGAGGTGTTCCAGGCATGTCCCACCGGGAGGAGGCCCCGGGGCAGACCCAGGACACGCTGGAGAGATTATATCTCTCGGCTGGCCTGGGAACGCCTTGGTATTCCCCCGGACAAGCTGGAGGAGGTGGCTGGGGAGAGGGAGGTCTGGACCTCTTTGCTTAGGCTGCTACCCCCGCGACCCGACCTCGGATAAGCGGATGAAGATGGATGGATGGATGGATTATCTGTACACCAACACTTTGCATTTAACTTCAGCTTTAAATTCAGAAAGTGCTGTTATTTATACATGATTCCTAAACTTGATTCAAAGTGTTCGATGTGTATTTTATAGTTTTTCACTTTGACCTTAAATAGGAAGCCCGAAAGATGCTACAAAGATGTGAGGGAGCCAATAACTGGGCTTAAAAGTTCACGTAAACCAATCGGAGAGAGAGAGCATAAACTTTAGGAGTGACATAAATGAAAATCTGGTGCATTGTTACAAAGAATGAATGTAGTGACCTCGGGCTGTGAGATATGACCAAAGTCTCATCTCAGTACAAACAGTTCTCATCCCAATAACGATATATATCACAAAATAGTGCTTTTTCTGAAAATTCATTGAACACAGCTGGGCGTTGTTTACCTGGAGTCGAGTGTTTTGACCGATGCATGAAACGATACATTTTTAGACATAAGTTGTAACAGCCGCCATTTTCTTTGTATTTATTACATGGTGTGCTGCGGGGAAAAACCTGTTCTAATGTTTGAGTCTAAGGTTTATTTTGAGCACTTGACGGCTCTTTTTTGCTTCTCATCGGTAAACTCTCTCCATACTCTTTCACGTGATTCTGGTGATTGAAGAGGTTTGTGGTCTTTGAGTCTGTAGTGCGGACCGTTTTGCGGTAAAATTTAGTATAGATTTCATAGTACATGGTACAGTTTTCTGTCAGATGTTGCATAACCAAACCATGTCCATGCTACAGAGGTAGCCTCTTGCCTTTAGGAATAAGTCCTCCATTTGTTTTGACTGGTCCTTCTGTTTGGAGCTACCTGGTTCTGCCTCATCTTAACTGGTCATGCTGGTATTCTCTGTGCATGCATCCACATGGTGACCATCGAAACAATGAAAAAATATTGCCGTAAACAATATTATGCGACACCACGAAACAAGCGATAGCTTAGGATATGAGGCGATAGACATTTTAATTTAATCATCTGATATATATTGTCATATCGCGCAGCCCTATACTGACCAGTTCAGCAACACCAAAAGGCCTGAAAGACCACAGAAAACAACTATGGTAAATGGTAAACGGCCTGTATTTGTATAGCGCTTTACTAGGCCCTAAGAACCCCAAAGTGTTTTACACATCCAGTCATCCACCCGTTCACACACACATTTAAACACTAGTGATAGGAAGCTACATTGTAGCCACAGCCACCCTGGGGCGCACTGACAGAGGTGAGGCTGCCGGACACTGGCGCCACCGAGCCCTCTGACCACCACCAGTAGGCAACGGGTGAAGTGTCTTAAGTCACGACTAAAGTAGATGATGACAGAATTATTTCAATTGTTTTTAAAAAAGAAAAAAAAAGCCTTGGCCCGTCTCTCAAGGAGAGACAGCAATCTCAATGTCAAGTTCTGCAATAGAAGTGTTTACAACAAGGTGCAAATGAAGATTACACTCAAGACCAGCAAGGCCAGATTAGACGTTAACAGAATACATTTTAAAAGAGCCTTTACAGTTCCTGTGCACATTCCATCATTGATGCTGTGGTGAGATCAGACAGTCTACAAGAGAGGGCAGATAATAACATGACCCCTCCTGGTGGCAAATGATAGCAGCTAGAGCAGGGCGATATGACCAAAAATATGTATCACGATATACATTTAAAAATTTGCGATAACGATATAACTGACAATATAATTGACACTAGACAAAACACTTTACAACTCCACAACTTTATTAGTGCAAAAAGAAAAACATCAATGTATTTTCACTTAAACAAGCAGCTGTTTTTTATCTGCATTAAAGTTATATAAAAATTTAACAGTGTAAATGCAAAATCCTTGCTGACAGTTTAACCAAAAGGCATTTCCAGTGGAAATTGGCCGACATATCCTCAGCATAACCATGTATAATATCCACAAAACTTAAAAAGAGCTTATACACACACAATACGCTAATATTATGTTGAAGCACAGTTTGTATCACTCCGCGAGGCTCCTGCCTACGATAGCCGTAATGCTCCGACAACCCATCAAGCGGTGCAGCTTCATAGTTTAGCAAAGTCGTGCTAAACATTTGACAGATTTTCGAGCGCCGTGTACGACATAAAATCGTTTCGAGGTCAGTAAACACAACCAGAATTCATACATAAGGCACACGGGATTATAAGGGGCACTGTCGATTTTCAGAAAAATCAAGGGATTGATTTTAAGTGTGCCGTGTTTTCCAAAAAACACGGTAATAACGACGGCCCGCTAGCATACGCTACCAAAAATAGTGCTTTGTTGTGTATCTGACGGATGAAAGCTAAACCAGTTCCACATCACTGAAGTTGCAGCATTTTTACAAACCAATTCTGGTTCATCCGTTTCATTCAACGATCCGCTTTCGCTCTTCTCATTCTGCGTCGCCGCCATGTGCGTATGTAAACATAGGCACTGCGCATGCGCGTTTTACCCATATTCTATCACGATATGTCATTTTCCTATCGTTGCCCAACATTACACCGGTATTACCGTGATATAGCCCAGCCCTAATAGCAGTGCAGCAGTAACAGAAGTAATGGCAAAGATGTTATTTCTGAAATAAAGTCAATTGTTAATTTTTATCCAATTTTAAGTAAGATTGGACAAATGAGTATTTAAGGGTTGTTTTGGGGGGCTGTGACGTCACAGGTGGCTTAAAAAAACATTAGAAACACATTCTAAGTGATAATAGTAAAGTAGAGCAGTCCACACTGTTCTGCCTAAGTCTGCACCTTCACCTCCTCAGCTCTCCTGCTCAGGTCTGAAAGCTGTTTCGATGCTCTGCTCTGGATTTCATTCTGTATTTGCTCAGATAAGTTCTCCACATGCTGGTCTGTCTGTTCCCCTGCTGTGCAGCACAGCCAGCAACCTGTTCGGTTCTCACACATTTCTCACACTCTCCCCTTGCTCAACATCCCATTGCCAGCCCGGCAGTAATTATTCAGCTGTTATCTAAATACAGTACTCTATATATTTATTTATCAACCACATCTAGCTAGCTCTGGTTACAGCAGCCTTCACTTTAAAATGTGTGCAAACAGTTGTGCTGCTAGGCAACCTGGTGTGCAGCAGTAGTGGTTTTACATTCACATCTGTAGAGGCAAAATGACATCCTTGGCAGTTTTTGGTATCATATTTTTCTTTTTTCTTTTTTTTCTAATCCACACATTCCCAAAATTCAGTATTTGGCGATTAAGCCCTGGTCTTCCTCTCTGTGGTCACGTGATTTTTAACACAGCTTAATTAACTGTGAGTTTGTATAATTTATGTTTTTGTGTTGCTCTTATTATAAAAGACGTTGTGATCACGCTCCTGTGTTGTTCAGCAGTTATTACTGGTGCAGCTGCACATTCATTTATTTCTTATCAGATTTTCAGATTATTCTACATGTTAGGCTTCCAACAAAAATGAAAACAAATTAAAAGATCAAGTAAATTTTGGATCTACCAAAATCTTTTCCTTCTAGGATGGTTCTGGTTTACTTCAGCTTGATGACTAAGAAAGCTTTTTGGAAGAAGGAGAATCCCAAAGTAATTAATCTTTTAATGAAAGCCTGATGTTTCAAAAACTATTTCAAAACTACCAAAGCACATTATCCAGCAATGACCAAAAAATATCATAGCTTTTTCAGTAGGAGTGAGGTTGGCTGTACTCAGAGTTATTATGAATAAAGGGAGGCTAACCCATGTACTGCCAGAGCCTCTGAATGACCTGAAGATATATTTTAGAGTGTCTGCTAACTCTGTCTGCACACTCTTTCTGCTCTGCAGGTTTCACGGATGAAGACACCGAGAATGGAGGAGAAAAGGTTCGAGAAGAGAAGGTCAGAGTAGAGAAGGATGGAGGAAAGAGTAATTGGTATCTTTCTGGTGTGCCAATCACTTTTTTTATTTTTGCTATACCTGCTGTTGTAATTATCTACAAAAGACTAAAAAAATGTATGAAAAGTCCTGAAAAAGCACTAAATAACAGATCTGAATCCTTACCTCTTTCCTCCTGAATGACTGTGGGTCCTGCTGTTGCACAGCAATGAAAACATCTTTGTAAGACTACTAGAGATCCATGCTGCATTAGTCTTGTTTTTGTCCATTTATGATGGTTCAAAATGCTCAGTTTAACCACAATAATAAATATCTGCACAGGTTACTCTCAGGAATCAGATTCTCTTGTCAAGTGAGGAAAGGTAGTAGTGTGGGCAAACTATCGTTATGGGTCGTGACCTGTAAATTATACAGGTTGTTACGCACATTATTAAGTATTTGAAGATCTTCACTTTTATTACCTCTACAGCCAGTCAGCCTGCCCCCTTCCCTGACATCAGTCCAGTTCTGCCAAAAAGGCTAAAGCTTCAGAGTCTGCTGTCAAAGCTGCTACCTCTCAGTTTATTACAGAGGTCACTGTTGTAGCTCGTCTGCACGGGGCAGTGGTTTACTTCTTCTAAAGTGTTTAAACCCACATACCACATTTTTTTAATCAATCACTACCAAAATAAGTTTATTTTAGTGAAATAAAGGTCAGCACAGGTTCATTATCAGAGGACATGTTGCTGATATCAAGAGTAAAAAGGACCAGCACTGTATGTTTAAGCCTGTGAAGCCTTAATCTGTGTTATTTTTCTATGCAAATATTTTGTATTTTTGTATGTTTTCAAAATCATTAGCACGGACACATCATTAATCACAGTGTAATATATATATGTATATATCTAATCACTTTATTTTTCAGCAACATGTAAAGTTTCGAGTGTACTTGTCATGTTTAATGTTCTTTTTATAATGGCATTTTTAAGCATCACTCTGTCACCTTTTAATTGATCTTAACTATGTATATTCTGTTAGTACAAGCTCGAGCTGGACTGGAGCCGTGCTGACATGTAATAAATAAAAACACAAACTATCAAGAAGATTTTTTGTTATTTTGAGTGTTTCGTTTTTTAATTGCAGGGAGTGTAATTAGAGCGGAGGGGTGTACAACGAACTCAGATCAATGGCTTAGCAAGGTACAACGTATATCTCTGTTTACCTGGATAAATCATCATTGTAAGTTACGCTGAACACTTAATATAACTTGTTCCTGACCAGGTCTAGAGTTTTGGTTTAAAACTGCCTGGATGGGACAGATTTTCATTGAGTCTTTTATTGGCAGCATGTTAAAATACTCACTAACAGTATTCACTGTTAGTGAGAACTTCATGCAATTTTCAAAGATTACTTCTAAATATCTATATGTTAAAATATTGTGTTCACTTAAAAATAGATATATGTATACGGAAAACATCACACTGGAAAACAACCAGCAATTTATTAAAAAAAAAAGAAAGAAATTATTAGCCATCAGTGAGCCAGTCACAGTCTTATAAACAGAAACTGTTACAAATTCTTTGTTCGTGAATTTTGTTTTTAGTTGGTATTTCCTGTTTTAGCTACAAGCTAAGTTGCTGTTTCCTGATTGGCTGCAAAATTTTGTTGCATTTACAGGAAGAAGGATTTGATTTAAACTTGCAAACTTGAATGTAAATTAGATGTAAAATTGTCACAAGAGGGCTCAGTAAAAGGATGCAAGTGTGAAGGCCAGTGCAAGGTACATAGACATTAGAAAACATAGAAAGTGTGTGTGACAGTGTACACACAGATCTGCGGGCCAAGTTTTGTCCCAACACACGGACCACAGTTGTTAAAATGATGTGTAGGTTTAAATCTGGGACTCCCCACCGTTTGACCTTAGACCTGAAGAAGCTTCTTGGATGAGAGGTGAAACGTCTTCAAGCAACTTAAAGAAGTCCAGACACTTTTCTTTGCAAGCTCCTTTGACTACGATGACCTGGATGACTGAGAACCTTCACAGACAAAGAGACAGAACAGACTCTCTGTTATCTATAATCCAGTTCTGAGATCCCTTCCCAGATGCCTTAATGCCCACTAACCTCCTGGGCCATCTGACCTCAGGAAATCACATTGTTGGGTTTATTAACCCTTTAAGACCTACCATAGAACCAAGTCCGCCAGAGCTTATATTATATTTTTACATGCTGTAGTGCCATTTTTGGGAGCATTTCAAGTTGCTATACATCAATACAACCATTATAACCCAGATTTTAATAATATGTCTGCATTAAGTGTATCGTAATTACATAAATTGCAAAAAAACTACAAAAAAATTGAAAATCTTTTTTGTTTTTTTAACATATATTTCTAGTTAGAGAAATTTAAGAGGCTTATCCCTCAAAACTGTAAATAGAAAAAAGTTGAACAAAATAGTTTCCCACCACAGGAAATTTATTTTGAGTGTCTTCATAGTTTTATTTTTGAAATACACCAATTTTTATACACTGCAGGAAAAACGAAAATAAATATTATACTGAAAATTTGCAAAAAAGCAGCATATACATCAAAATAAACTATTTCCAGCAGTGCAATATGAGTCCTAAGCATCCCAGAAACAACACATAAAGTCAAAGATAACTTTTAAAAACACAAGTATAGGCTCATGAGGCCCTGGTGGAAAAAAACTACATTTCCGCAAAAATGACGTCACTTCCGGTTTTGGGCAGGTCATGGTGGACATGTGAAAGTTCGCGCTGGCGTCTATTCCAACATAGGAAATGTTAAAAACAGCTGATTGGATCAGCAAAGCATGTTTCTGGAATATTATGTTTTTGTTGCTGCAAGTGCTTTTTATGCAGTTTTTGCAAAGCTTTATGTGGAAGGAAACCGTGACCTAGGACAAGCTGATGGCATAAGATGTAAGTACAACTCCTCCGGTTTCCCCGCTCCGATCGGTTTTAAAGGGTTAAAGTACAAAACCCCACTGGAACACAAGACCACCAACTGCACGGCAAAAACAAGACACAAGTCAGAGCTCTTTGTCTCGTGGGCCGCGTGGGAAGTCAGTCAAGGCCAAGTTCACCTTCCTTTCTTCAGAGGTGTACTGTTTTCCCTCCTTGTAAATCTCACATTTGATGATGGACCACAGGTTCTCAATAGGGTTCAGATCAGGTGAACAAGGTGGCCATGTCATTAGTTTTTCTTCTTTTATACCCTTTCTTGCCAGCCACGCTGTGGAGTGCTTGGACGCGTGTGATGGAGCATTGTCCTGCATGAAAATCATGTTTTTCTTGAAGGATGCAGACTTCTTCCTGTACCACTGCTTGAAGAAGGTGTCTTCCAGAAACTGGCAGTAGGACTGGGAGTTGAGCTTGACTCCATCCTCAACCCGAAAAGGCCCCACAAGCTCATCTTTGATGATACCAGCCCAAACCAGTACTCCACCTTGTTGGCGTCTGAGTCGGACTGGAGCTCTCTGCCCTTTACCAATCCAGCCACGGGCCCATCCATCTGGCCCATCAATACTCACTCTCATTTCATCAGTCCATAAAACCTTAGAAAAACCAGTCTTGATTGAGTATTTCTTGGCCCAGTCTTGACGTTTCAGCTTGTGTGTCTTGTTCAGTGGTAGTCGTCTTTCAGCCTTTCTTACCTTGGCCATGTCTCTGAGTATTGCACACCTTGTGCTTTTGGGCACTCCAGTGATGTTGCAGCTCTGAAATATGGCCAAACTGGTGGCAAGTGGCATCTTGGCAGCTGCACGCTTGACTTTTCTCAGTTCATGGGCAGTTATTTTGCGCCTTGGTTTTTCCACACGCTTCTTGCGACCCTGTTGACTATTTTGAATGAAACGCTTGATTGTTCGATGATCACACTTCAGAAGCTTTGCAATTTTGAGACTGCTGCATCCCTCTGCAAGATATCTCACTATTTTCGACTTTTCTGAGCCTGTCAAGTCCTTCTTTTGACCCATTTTGCCAAAGGAAAGGACGTTGCCTAATAATTATGCACACCTGATATAGGGTGTTGATGTCATTAGACCACACCCCTTCTCATTACAGAGATGCACATCACCTAATATGCTTAATTGGTAGTAGGCTTTCAAGCCTATACAACTTGGAGTAAGACAACATGCATGAAGAGGATGATGTGGACAAAATACTCATTTGCCAAATAATTCTGCACTCCCTATACATGAATATGCAATTACAAATACACATGACAGTCTTAAGCAGGCATATCTGAGCAACAGCGTTATCTGTATTCAGTGTGTGTGTGTGGATGCATGCGTGTGTGTTTTCAGCCATACCATACATAGACATACTTCCTTATCAACCTTTCCAGTTGCACCAAACAACGTGAACTTAACAGGTGTATGAGGTATGCTGAAAGAGCAGAAACGAGCATCTCACTAAACTATAAAACAGGAACTTGCAATAGGTCATATTTCAAATGAACATTTAAAGCTGTGAAGTCTTGCACTTTAATAGAATAGAACAGTCTGTTTCCTAAAGCTATAATGGAAATTATAACGTCGAGACTGCTTCCTAGTAACAATAATAATATTAATAACAAGGTGCAATAAATACACTCTTCTTCTTTTCATAACTGAAATTAGTTTACTGTGTTGTGTTGTATGCAGTGCCGATGTGGTTTTCCAATTCCATTGTACTATTGTACTATGTATAACTGTGCAATGACAATAAAGACTTATCGTATCTTATCTTAAATAGCATGAATTCGGAGGCAATTCTTGTACGTAGGTCAAAAGTGATCATACTGTGAATTCGATAAAGGCGACTAAGCTGGGCAAGCCTTAGGTAACACTTTACATCTATGTCACATCCCAGCTGGCTCCGAGATACAGGAACAGGAAGTATGACATATGCACCATAATGATGTTTGACTAACAAATTAGGCGCCTTTATCTATAAACCGTCACTGCTTAAGTTGTCTGACCAGAAACCAAACTGATGCTGAGTGGTGCTCAAACAGGCTTAACTGAAAAACAGGAATGCAGCTCAGAAAATCAGTTCCAGTTTTGCAAGATCTCCTCAGAACAACAGTGTTTAAGACCAGTAACGCTTCACCTATTGCTTTTGTTTAAGTTTTGAAAAGAAGTGGGAAGAAGTACACACCTATGACATTTGTTATCCGTCTCATCAGTAAACATTCATCCAGTCTACTTCAAGTTCAAATTTTCAGGTTCATATTTTATTCGTCACATAAACAGTCATATAAGTACAACATGCAGTGAAATGCTTGTGTCCAAGGAGGGGGCAGGCTGCAGACGTGGCGGCACCAAATACTAATACTAATAGACACTTAATATACAATTCATCATGTTGTTTTTACAACTTTACTTCAACATGTCAGAAACAAGTATCTCTAGTTTCAGTTAATTGTGAACTCTTGACAGGAATGAAACAGGAAAAGAGACATTCACCGACACTAAACATTGTCTTGTTTATATTTCATAAAAACAAGATCTTTAAACTTCCTTTTTTAGTACTTTATGTTTGTGCATTGTTTTAATTTCACTGTCTTAAAGTCACATTTTCGTTTTTTATCAATGTTTTAACAGAAGAACAGAAATGTATACATTTTCCTTTGTCTCTTATGATGAGACAAACACTCTGTGACCTGAAGTCTTCAAGGATAACAAATACTGAAATTTCTACATAATATAGCATCTTCCATTCATAACTTCCTGACGAAGAGTCCACTGAATTTCAGGTTAAACTGGCCTACCTTGGGAGTATGCATTGAGCCTTTCCCTGTATGATTTCTACCCATGACTACCAAGCTCTCCATGCAGAAAACACCATTAGCAAATTTGCAGATGACACAACAGTCAGTGGTTTGATCATCTATAATAATGAGAGGCCATACTGGGATCACTGCTAAATCTGGCAGCTCTGAATTATCTTATCCTCAACACCCAGAAAATAAAGGAGATTGTGGCGTATTTCAGAAAGAAGCAGCGACCTGAGCGACCACGGGCAGCAAACCCTCAGCTTCATAACTCTAGTGAGAGCTCCAACATCACAGAGGCCCTCCCCTGGTCTAATCACACCTCTG